GAAGGGAATAAATATCAGAAGATATCCCCCAAGCTTGAGTCGGGTTGTAGATGTCCCCATCTTTCCCCATAAAACGTCGCTCAGTGCTTTTCTTGCTCGACTTATTTTTCGCTCCCAGGCTATTTTTTCTTAGTTTGTTTCTGCCCACGACCCCTGCCATTGCCGGAATTTTTGCTTTTTCTTGTCTGCGCGTCGGGCCTTCGGGCTGGGCTGCCAACTTCTCAGGACGTTTCGGTCGGCTTGCGCGTGCACGGGCGCCGCACTGCTGCAGCTAAAGCCGCATGGTCGTATTGTATAGGGCCCGTAAGGATAAAAAAGTTTTTTTTTCTGTCTACCCCAACAGCGCCCGGTTCGCATCCTCATCTTTGCAAATCATGCTGTGATACGGGCTTGCTTGCTTGTCTGCCTGCTTGCTCTCTACCTTGTATATTCTTCCCATTCTCTAGGGATAAGCGCTTTCTCCAGTTAGTTGAACTGACCACACTTACCACTGCTATTGTTATGGCTGTCTTGACTGAAGTTTCACTCTGGTAGTGCTGAGGTAATGCTGAGAAATGCATTACAATGCAGCTATAGGGCAGCTAGCAAGCAACGTAACTCAGCTCTAAGATGCACAACTGCAAGCTGGACCCCAGCATGCAAATCATGCAAGCAAGTAAACAAGCTATGTGAATGTGAACGCCCAGGAAAATGTGGCTCGGATCCTCAATGCGCCTGACTGGCCGGCTGGCTGTAGGGCTGATGTCCCAGTGTGGCTGGCGGAGGCGTCATTAACGAGCAACGTAGTGCCACAACGCCTGGTCTTCCTTCAAGGAGTTCGAGATCCATGTCGCAAAACCAAGTTAATGCGGAATGTCATCAGAGAACTGTAATGATTGCAGACATTTCATCATCTTGTCATGCATTGACATCAACGATGACGAGAGGTCTGGGGTGGAACTGTCAAGCTCATGGCGTCCATGTTCTACCACCGCACGTCATGAAGACGTAGTTGCTGCTCTTCCAACGCACGATGATAGCACGACGCCGTCATGGCGACGTAGAGGATGCGTTAGTGGAGGATGAATGGAGAGGTTCGGACGTGCAGAGCGCGGGGTAGACCAAAACAGGACAGCTCAGACTGGCTCAGGGCAGGATAAGCCACACTGCTTGCGATCTATCTATCAGCCCTACACTAGCTGCACGATGCATGGTCTGAAGATCGAAGCTCAACTGGGGCGTCCAGGGATAGCTGGTGGATCTTGAAAAGTTTGACTGTGACCACTCGCCGATGCACGGGAATGCAATGTAACGGTATGCTGCTGCGCCAACCGGGCCGGCGTGAGAGATCAGGGAGTCTGTGCTCGGGAGTCTCCGACTGGAGCACGGAATGAAGGAAGCACTTTACTTTTTTTCTTTTTACTTTCTTCTGCCCTTCGTTTATGCTTCTCCTGATGCATTTCTAGAAAAAAAGAATGAAGAAGTTGTCCCGTCAATTCTTCCTGACGCGTAACTTGCATAATGCCATCGCCGAGACCTCAAGTATCCGAAAAGGAATACGTGGTGGGAAAACAACCAATTCGTGAATTGACATGAAGTACTACAAGCATACTTGGAGAATTCTGCACAGATGAGATGCACTGCTGATTTATCCATACTGTCTCTGTCTCTACAGCCGTTGGGATGCAAGGGGGAGTAAAGCAATTTGTGTTTGACTCCTTACATTGCTTTTCTCTCAAGAAAAGCCCATGATCGACCGGGAGCTTGATCAGTCAGTGCGCTCGCCTACAGGCATCAGAATACTCTACTGTCAGCCACGCTTGTATTAAGCAAAAGCAACAGCCTTGAATAGACTCGATTAACCTCGAATTAACTAAATGCCTCTTGCAGGGGACAGGCAAACCATGGTAACATGATCGATTGACAATCCAACTAGCCAATCTAACCACCGTTTCTTCTTTTTCGATACATCCCGTCTTTTCGTTCGTTTCACTCCACCTCTTGAAGTCGCAATCACAACTACATTGCATTGCCGAGTGGAATCCACACGGATTCTCCAGTATCACGGTCTGCATTGCATTGACCTTCCCGACCGGGTGTAACGTGTGCGTTAGGCTCGGGTTAGTTTCGATTACGTGTTGCCGTCATCCCAAGACGGTTAGAATGGGCTAGGTTAGGCTGTTACCGATGTGGAGAACCGGTTGCCGGCCATCTCACTGACGCCGAAGCCCGTGTGGTCGCAGGTCTTTTTTTTACCCGATGGACCTTCTATTTTCATTCCTGGGCTATTATTGCCTTCCTCTTTCGTTACCCCTTGCGGGTCGGCCCGTTGTAAGACAGTTTTGTTTATTTTTTTTTTCTTCGCTATCCCTGCGGCTGCAGTATGGCGAGGTGATCAGATAACGCTGATAAAATAAAGAGTCGTGCCGCACGAAAAGGGAAAGAGCCCCTCAAGCGACGCTGATAAGCTTGGTCTGCCAATACGGAAGGAGCGTTGTATGAAAACCAGAGTAAACCATTTCTGGAAGGAAACACTCAAAGTGAAAAAGAAGGAAAGAAGAGCAGAGCATATGCTGGACACGGAAGGTCTGGTTAACCATCCCCAAACAAGCAGCACAGACTGCCGAAAGTGCGCTGCACCTGAGCCGCAAGCTGCAATTGCAGATGCAGCTGCGATGCATTTCACCCGCGCACCGACCCTTGCAGAGTTTTCTCAGTCCGTGCACGGTCACGAAAGCCGGTTAGCCGTCCTCTGCTTTGTTTTTCTTTTAATAGTCTCAACTCGGTCGGCGGCTTCGGTTCGCAGCAACGACGCTAATATAAGCGGGTCCGGCAAGGGTTGAAGAAGCAATTATAGGGGACAGGGAACGCGTACTCCATATAGATACGCCTCTCCCGTGTTTTTTATCGGGTATTCCGCTCGTAACGAGTCATGTCAGGTCAATGCACCCCGTTGCTCCCCCAGTCCCGTGCTATATTGACAGCTGTCCAATTTCTAGCTACTTTTGCAAGTTTCCCAGAATGCAAGCTCGTATGTCCGTGCTTACTCGGTAGTCCGACTGCCTGGGTGTCAGCCATGCTAAGACAGCTATGGCTTGCTATCTGTCTCTGTCTGAGCTCCCGAGTCGGCTGAGCTCCATTGAGTCAGGGTGCGGCGCACGGAGCACGAGTGAGAGATAATCAAATCCCACCCTAACATCGGACGGTCAGATTTTTTCTGGCTATCGTCTCAACAATGAAAGCACATCAGCACTATCAACGGCCACTACTATCTCGATGATACAGGGGCAATGTGACGATAGACGAATTGTCGTCAAACTGGCTTTGGCTCATCTTCGCGTTCCGTCGCAGCCTTGCGATCGTTAGCTAGAAAAGATAGCCCGACAGTTATAGATCATGTGTCCAGGCCGGTAAGGCAGCCCCGGAGGTAACATGTGCGTGATTAACAAAGACATACATGTCAAGTCAAATCATGCATTCCAGGTGATAGATAGGTAGTCAGCTTAGCTGCACAGCTCTGAGATGAGATTCGAAGTATGAAAGGCAGCACGCGAGATATTTGAACCCCATACCTATAATGCAGTTGCAGTTAAGACCGCATAGAGTAAACTAAACGAACAGGAAGGAGGCAAACAGGCAGCTCTCACTCCACATTCACCATATCCTTGCCCAGCGCCCACAAAGCCGAAGACATGATTTGAAGAAAGTGCACTTCCAAAACTCTAGCAGGAGCGGGTGGCTGGCCAGGGAGCTGCCGTACTGCATGCACAACCTGCACCTAGCAGCATCGGTTCGGCCCACGGCACTCGAAGAATCCGTGCAAAGGACAAAAAAAGAAAAGTTTGTGAAAACTCTTCCCTCCAAACGTGCACCGTGTGCTCGTTCTGATTCGTCTCTCTAGCCACCTTGCAGGTCTCTACTGATCCCGGTAAACCGAAGTGGATCTCTAGTCAGCCCCTGACGGGACCGCTTTGCTTGTCCTCTGCTTTGACCGCCCGAGACGAAACGCAGATCGGAGAGCCAAGCGAGCTAGAGCCGAGATGTCGTGCTACAGCTTAAGAATTCTTTGATAAGAATCCTTATCCAGCCACATGCTAGAGCATCTCTGCACTGCGATTTTTGTGTTGACTGACGTGCTCACACGCACGTGCGTGCACCAGCCGTACGAGTCGTGCAACTTAATCATGAGTCAAATCTTTACAAAGTTTATGCTCCGTCTAACTGTCATGTGTGAAAACATGTTATTAACTTTGCTTTTGCCTTATCATGGGGGGTATTGACTTGCTCTTCGCTTTCGTGATTTGCGTGATTCTCTTGCGACCGTTACAGTACCTAGTGAGATAAAAAAGTCACGATTGAGAGCCATAAATGAACAATCTATACTCCATAGCAACCATGGATTATAACAGCGAATGCCGAGTTCAACCATGGCAGAGAATACTAAGATGTTGACCTTTATTGCTCGCTTTATGGTACCGGCCGGCAAGGCAGCCACGCGGTACCGAGACTGTGCAAAGAGCCCCCGTTGTGGCTTCTTCGCGCCTTCCTTCCCTTCGTTGTTTGGCTGTGGCGCACGAAACGTGTTGCTAAAACTGGCAACTGCAACGGTTTTATTATAAGCTTTGCAGACATTAGGGAAGGAGCTACTCAAGATCGACGTATAGATTTGCAGTTTAAGTTTGAGTTTGCATGTTTTTGTGGCGTCGACAAGCGTTTCCTGCTGAACAAGCAAGTACGAGATATACGGAGTACTTTAACGGCCCTAAGAAGCGCTGTCTACTTTTTTTGTTCCGTAGAAATGCGCGTTGGCCGACATACGCAAAAGTCAGAAGGATCCAAAATCGCGATCACTTCGCACTATGAGCAAGCTTTCCAAGTCCTCTCCCTACAGTGGTCATTCCACATCATGTTTATTTATTTTACGAGCTCGCGACGTAAAAATAAATGTAATTATACAGGGCAAAAAGGTCGTGCTGGGACTCGAACCCAGGTCATTGGAATTTCGGCTTAAAAGACGTCAAAATCCAATGTGCTAACCACTACACTACACAACCGCGCTGGGCACTCCGGCGAAATGTGCCATTTAAGATCGTGCAGTCTCGGCAATGGAGCAGTACGCATCAACGTTGGCGAGACCGGAGACACACCACACTGCAATTTTCTGGTTATTCTCTCATCCAGAGTGACCAGAAGCCCTGCCCAAGAAGCCAAAGGCTTTCCGGGTTAAACTGCCGCGCCATGCGAATGCCGATGTCGAGCGAAAAAGCGTGGGAAGACCCATTTGTCCAGCGCATATTCGTTAAGCTAACGTGTTGCCGATGTTCTAGCAGGAGTTCTGCGATGAAGTTGCGGTCGATGAGACCGTGAAGGTCCAGAGAGATAGATAGCTTGCTTCTACCTCGAGGCTTGGCCAACTTGCTGGGTGCGAGTGATGAACTTTTGACGAATCGCGCGGTACGTCATGGCATGACAGGATGGGGCAACCTCATGAAGGCTTTTAATCGCTCTTCTGGGATTGAAGCGATAGACAGCGTGCTGGTTCTCTTCCTGCTAGGAATCCTAGTTCATGCTATGCTGTGTCTTTCCAGCCAAAGGCGTTAGTTGTGACGACCCGCGTTGAGAATGGTCAAGCAGGAGGAGATGAAACCACTTCTCGTGCTTTGGTCGCGCCCCAGCTGGCAGCTCTTCACCTCACAATCAGCTCCATCGACGGAAAACCATACCTTCGCAGTGAACGGAGACTATCGTCACAGATCCTGAAGATCTCCAACGCCGTATGATTCCCCACGGCCTTCCTGCAACAACGCTCTCGCATCAAACCACGGGACCCCCAAACCCGCGAGATTGCAAGGGCAAGGAAGCATCCATCTCGGGTCGGGATGAACCGTTGATTCCCACAGTGCCTTCCCCCTTTGCCTGCTTCGGTACATTATCCCAAACGTGCAGAACGCGGTCAGCTGTCACGCGATTCCACGTGTACTGTAGCAAGAATGAGGGAGCATATACATTGGCCGTTGGCTTTTGAAACTCCGGCTGTTCTGCAGCTCAGTTGGAGATTGCGGAGGGTCGTACTCTCAGGCCGGCAGAATGGTATGACATGGCACGGCACGGCACGGCACGGCATGATATGGCAGCTGCAGAGGCAGAGAGCGACGTTGT